CATGAGATTGAGAAAGGGACGTGTAATCCAGGATTCAAGTCTGCCTGGAATCTGCGGGTATATTGCAGCGAAGAGGCGGAATCTGAAAAACAACAACAAAAAATCCCCTAGAGGCAGCAAAATAGTGCCTTGAAAGCTGTTTCTTTTGGATTGAGAACAAGGAAAGGGTAGGCCCAGGGCGTGTGGCAGATGGCATTAAATACAACATTAGACGGTGACGAAAGGCAGGATTTTCAACTCTCAGCTTTTCTGTTTTCTCTATTGAGGAAAATGGTTCTCAATCTAGAAACATTAAACAAATACCTAGAATAAGAAATTGAATCTTAGATAGGTGAGAAAAATGGGAGACGTGTGAATCTAGGTTTCTAAGCCCAAAGGAGAGATGAATGTAGAACAGTGTCTCAGACGTGGTGTTGCTCAATCAGAATTTGTTGAATGAACAGAATCACGCTCCTGCTGGGGAAGTAACTTGCCCAAATGACCTCAATCTTGGAAAACTCTTGGAGAATTTCAGAACCACAAGACTGGAGATGAGTTCATTTTCCACTATTCATATGGGAAAGAAACATGAATTCTGATCCTTGTAAAAATTCTAGAAAGAATTATTAAAGAAATTATGAGTATTTAGAAAGAATTCAGAGATTCCTAGGAAAGACTGGTGTTTACTGAGAAGCTGCGAGAAACAAAAGTCGTTTCCTTTTCTGAGTGGAGTTGCAAGTTTTTAGTGCCAATGAACATAGCAGACATTCTGGAGCTTGATTTCAGGAAATTATCTTGTTATCAAAGTTTCCTGTAACAGCCTCATAGACAAGATGTAGCAATGTGAGCTGGGTGGCACCAGTTTGGTGCATTCAGAGTCAGCTTTACCCAAAGGCCAAGAAAGGTCCCTAATGATGGGCCAGATGGCTCTGTTCTTGGTCCAGCCCCATCTGATTTTTTTTTTCAGTATCACATAAAGGTACAGGATGCCCATTTGTCAATTCTGCAGAAATCCCAGACCTAGGAGAAATGTGTCAGCTGGATAAAGTATTCAAAAGATTTCCCCATGATAGGACAAAATAAACAAGGTGATGTTTAACAAGATACATATAAAGTCTTGAATGAGGTTAAGAAAAAGATCAGCCGCACAAGTACAACATCGAGGCATCAGCCTTCACCACCACTATTGCGGAAAGACCAGAGTTCATTTACAGGTTAATAAGAGCCCCAGCGACGATGCTGCTAAAAAGACTTCTGCAATTCCTGGGCCCAGGATAAAGGTGTGAGACGATCTCTCCATTTTGGGTGTTGATATTTTGTTTCATTCTGGATTCTCTTTTGGATCTATCCTGGGACATCGGAGGGCAAGAGAAGGTGGGCGGCCTTCATAGGATAAAATGATAAACGATCTGGAGGTGCCGACTATGTAGAAAGCAGATGCCAGTGAATTGTGAGACCTGTCCTCAAATATCTGAAGGTCTTTTATGTAATAAATATAGTTATGTGTTCTCTATTTTCCTCCAGAGGGAAAAACCGGAATCAGTGGCTAGCGGCCAGCCCATTGAAGGCCAATAGAAAGCGGTTTTGAATACTTAAAGCACACAGCCGTGCAGTAGGCTCCCTGGACAACGGGGAGCCCTCTCACCGCATGGAAAATTAGAGAGCAGTCGGGGGGAGGTGGAGGGAATTCCTGCACTGGCTCGTGGCTGGACCACGTGACCCCTGAGTGTTCCTCCACTACGTATAATTTTATTATTTGAATAGTGTCTGTTCTCATTTACTGAACTTGTACTATGTGCCAGGACTGGGTTAAGTAAGGGTTTTGTGTGCATAATCCCACTGCGGCTTCCCAGCAGATGGGAAGACCGAGGCCCAGGGAGGCTATGCTGATTGCTCGGGCTCACATGGTGGTCGGTAGAAGAGCGGAAGTTTGATCTCAAGTCTGAGTTTAAAGTATACGCCCTTAACTTCTGTTATATCCGATCTCTGGATTATACACCACGTTCTTTCATTCAGCAACTAATGCCTTTGAATGCCTTGCCCTCACTTCCTCTCCCTGGCAAACTCTTGTTCATCCCTGTAGACTGAGCTCACCTGCTGTCCCTCTGGAGCTTTCCCTCACTTTCTCCACACAAGATTAGTTGCTTCCCTGCTGTGTTCTCATAGCAAGGGGCATGTTGCCTTCTCTCTGGCTACTTAGTGTTGGTTTCCCCAGTGGATCGCAGGCTCCCAGTTTCCTGAAGAGCCAGAACCAATGCTCACTCGTCCTTGTCTCCCAGCACCACAACGCGTAGATGTTGGCCCTCTATACGTCTATAAGTCTGTGTCCATTCATTCATTCACTCAGGAAGCCTAAGAAAGAATAATGTCTTATTTCCTTCCCTCCTGTCTCTCCCTTTAATCCTTCCTGTATAAAACATCACATATCATTCTCTTACTCTACTTCCTTTGATGCCCCTTTGTGTTCTACAGCAGGAAGTGCAAATTCTTTAGCGTGACTTCCAGGGGCCTCAAGATGAGATCCCTGTGACACCCCAGGCCTCATCATGCACCCCAGGACCCCTTTCACCCTCCCCACTCTGGCTCCACCACTTCCTTTCCCATTCCCTCGGCTGTCCTCATGTTGTTCCCTCTTCCATCCTCACTGTTTCCTCCCCAAAGTGTCCTCCATTCCCCAAGACCCCAGTTCAAGCACCACGTTCCTCAGGAAGCCCAACCTCACGCATGCTCTGACCAGGAAAACCCTCCCTCCTCCATGTTACCAGAGTGCTTTTTTGTTGCTTTGTTGTGACAGTTTCCTAACGTTCTATTTTATTCTAGCTCTTTGAGTCCATCTGATCCGAAAGATTATGTAACAATATACTTTTTGGTAGACACTATGCCTTACTACTATCTCCAGATTTCTCGGGATATGTAACATTTCTTACTGTATCCCCATCCCTAAGGCAGTACCGACACACAGAAGTTATTCGATGAGTAGGTGTTATTAAATGAATGAAGGGACCAGAAATCAGGATCTGCATTCTAGCACCAGTTTGCCCATAAACTATATAACTTGGGGTATTGCATATACGGTCCACCCTCTGTATCTGCAAGTTCCACATCTGTGCATTGAAAACATTTGGAAAAAAATAACAATACAACTATACAAATAACACAAATTTAAAAACCAATATAGTACAACAATTTTAATATTTACATGGCACTTACATTGTATTAGATATTATAACTAATCTAGAGATGATTTAAAGTGTACAGGAAGGTGTGCATAGGTTATATACAAACACTATGCCATTTTATATCAGGGACTTGAGCATCCATGCATTTTGGTGTCTGTAAGGGCTTTCAGAACCAATTCCTCCAGATACTGAGGGGTGACTGTATTTGCATATAATTTACATAGTCCTCTCCTATACTTTAAATCCCCTCTAGATCACTTATAATACCTAATCAATGCCTATGCATCACTTCATTCATGTGGATTCAGTGTAGTACTTATTCAGAGCAGAGTAGATTCAAATTTTGTTTTTTGGAACTTTGTGGAATTTTTTTCCCAAATATTTTTGATCAACAGTTGACTGAATTCAGAGATGTGGAGCCATCAGATGTGAAAGGCTGACTGTACTACACCATTTTATATAAGGGACTTGAGCATTCTCAGATTTTGATATCTGAGAGGGGATCCTGGAACCAATCTCTCACAGATACCGAGAGACAATTGCAAATCTCCCTGTCAATAAAGTGGTCACGGAAACAGGGAAAAACAGGAACTAATTTTTATGCATGACTTGCTATGTGCAAGGCAACGTGCATTATTTACCTTACATGACTACTATTAACAGAAGGAGGGAGATACATGGCAGTGAAGGACATGGGCTTAGAATAAGACACGCTTGAGTTCTAGCTCTGCCACTTACTAACCGAACTTGGGCAAGTGACGTTAATCTTTTAAACTGCTGTTTCTTCAGCTATCAAGTTGTGATAAGAGAATGCACAGGTGAGTTCATTGTGAGGATTAAATAAGAAGCTGTATATAAGGCACATAGTCCATCAAATGGCATGTGATCGCTGCATAATAAATAGCAGCACATTGTTATTACATTAACTGCGTGTCTTGTTATTCCTGTTTAACCAATGAAAAAGAAAAGCCTCCAAAAATTTAAGCAACTTGCACAAGGTCACACAAATCTTCTGTCTGCATTGCTTTTTCCTCTGCCTACAGGACCTTCCAGTATAAATCCTTCTAGAATAGCCATGAGCTTTGCCATACAGCATGTGTTCTCATTTCAGGGTGAAATATTAGAAAGCCACCTCTGTGTTGCTGCTTCTCAAATATGCCCAGATTTTAACATTTTATTATCTAAGCATTTAGCATCTAACATTGAGTATCTAAGAAGCAGTGCCAATTTTCTCATGATTATTCTTTTAATAAAGGTCATAATCTAAGTTATAAGAATATATGGATATAACTTTCTCCCCGTGAGACACAAAGCTGATAACCTTTTTTTCATCATTTGGCTTTTCTTTGTGCAAAAAAATTAAAATGCCAATCACTACTCCTCTATGACCAAAAGTGGTGTGAGCTTCCCTGACCCATGAATGCCCAGCTATATACCACCTGGGCACTCAGTAGGCATTTGATTTGGGGGAGAAAAAGGAGAAGGAGATAGTAACCAGCAGCTAGGGTTTTTTTGGGTGGAGGGTGTGATGCATAAACGTATGTAAGTTTTGCAGAGGACATACAAATAACAGAAGGGTCATTTTTGGTGGGACATTATCAAAGGTCCTTGGAGCTGGAGTAGTTATGCCCTAAATGTCCAAGAAGACCTTCCCCCATAGCACGTGCAGGTTGGTTTTATTTGCCATGCCCATGACCTTGAGGCATCAACAGGGTATCAGGGAGCTGCTGCCTGCAGAGCCCTTCTCGCCACAAACATGGCCCACTAAAGTGGCTCCAAAGCAGTTCGATCATGGGGAGAGAAACGCCAATCTAACCCATTTGCTGTTGATTTCTTAAGCAGATTCAGGCACACAGGATGAAGCACAGCTTTTGCAGGAATGGTTTCAGCTGGTTCTGGAGAAGAATAAATTAATGCGATATGAATCGGAGCTCCTAATCATGTAAGTAAGGCAACACAGATAACAGTGAGTCCTAAAAGCAAAGGGGCGAAGGGGGGTTGCTTACCCTCCTAGGTTGAAGTCCCAGGATTTTCTCTCCTTGTGCATACAGAATAGTGATTGAGGCAAATTGATATTTTATGTCTTGCATATCATGCTGGCATTAGCGCAGAGAATCTTTAGTTTGTCTGTTCCCTCTGCAGAGTCCTGTGGCTAAAATAGATTTCAGGTAATGAGTCTGGAGCTGAAGGGCATTTGGATAAGGTATTTTCAATCCATCACGGTCCCCCAGGCCCATCTTAAAAGAGCAGGCACACACCTGCAACGGGAAGGTTATGCCTGGCCTCTGAGTGTGAATTGTGGCGAGGGCTCAGGGAGATCTGCCCGGCCACTTCCTGGGCCTTTAAAGGAATGAAAGACTGAGATTTATCTGGCTGCTCTCTCTGAATTTGGGGTTGCAGCCTGGGTGGGAGATCAGAAAATAAAGACGGATCTCACCACAGCCTGAAAAAGTTAATGGTCACTATACCTGTCACCATCCTAGAGGAAAGGAGAGTAACATTTGATATAAACCAACTTAGCACCACCAGCTGTGCTGGGTGCTTTCATTTGTGCTATCTCATTTCATTTCACCCTGGCCTTGAGAGGTACTTTTAGGGGTTTTTGGAGTAATAAATATTATTAATACCACTCTTCCCCACCTGGGTTCTGAACCATGTGAGAAATAAGACAACCAAGTCAATAGAGGGAGCATCAAAATGTCATCCTTATTACTGATAATGGCTTATGCTTGGCTAAGTATGAAAGCCCAGATGGACTTGCTAACTGTGCTAGTGTCCTTGGGCTGGAGTAACAAATGACCACAGACTGGATGGCTTACAACAGAAATTTACTCTCTCGCACTTCTGGAAGCCAGAAGTCCAAAATCAAGGTGTTGGGAGAGCCGTGTTCCCTCCAGAGGCTCTAGGGGAGAATCCTTCCTGCCTTTTCCACTTCCTGTGGCTCCAGGCATTCCCTAGTTTGTGGCTGCATCACTCCAATCTCTGCCTCTGTCTGCACAAGCCTTCTCTGTGTGTCTGTGTCTTCTCTTCTGTCTCTTACGAGGACACTTGTCATTGGGTTTAGGACCCACTGAGATAATACAGATTTTCTCATCTCAAGGTTCTTAGTGACATCTGTAAAGACCCTTTTCAAATAAAGTCACATTCACAGTTTCCAGAACTTAAGATGTGGGCACATCTTTTTATTGGGGGGGATGTCACCACTCAACCCACTACACTAACCAAATCCCAGAATTAGACACATCTATCTACCTAATCACAAAAGGTACTATACTCACTTGTGCCTTAGTAATAAGGCTTTTATCCTAAGCCAGCGGGTCGTATCCAGGGGCAATATCCTTAGAGGATATTTGGCAATGTTGGAGACATTTTTGGTTGTCGCACCTGGGGACTGCTACTGATATCTAGTGAGTAGAGGCGAAGGATGTTATCAAACATTCTACAATGCACAGGACAATCCTCTCCTCCCACCAAAAAAGAATAAGCTGGCGTAAGATGTCAAAATTATCAAGATTAAGCAACCTGGCCTTCGACCTGTGCCAAGGCTCAGAGTAATTGAGAACATGTGTGTGTGTTGAAGACAGGCTGAGGCTGGGAGAAAAAGAGAGGCATGAGCTTAGCTCACCTAGTCTGTTCTTCCCCAATTTATCTCCCCTGGGGTGAGAGTGGGGAAAGGCAGGGTTGGGGGAGGAGCCCAGGAGTTCCACTCATTGAGCTCCATTGACATGGAAGGCAATGGGGAAGGAGTCATCTCTAGTAATTATTTGTTCTATTATTATTTTTTAAGGTGATGCATATACTGAGACTCAGAGCAACTAAGTAATTTGTCCACATTCACCTGCTACAAAGCCACTTTTATACAACCATACCGTTGGCATTAGGGCCCTGAATTATAACGTTCATTCAACAAAAATTTATCAAACACATTCTATGTGGCAGGACCTATGCTGGTGTTCTGTGGAAATAAAGATGAATAAGGCCACAGTCCCTGTCCTCCTCTAGCCCATCCCTAAAGAGTGTCTGGATGGCCTTCCAGCAGCCTGTGGAGCTCACACCACAACCTTCAGCGTCTCTCAGCAACCATTCTAGGCACCTTCGGTGGTCCCCGCAGCAGCAGAACTTTCAGTTCAGAGACAGTCTAAAACCTCAGTTTTAACAAGGAGAGAAGAATGCAGTAGCTATCGTCAATGGGTTTGTTCATCAATATTTCCTCACAAGTCTCTAGTATTTACAAAGTTGGAACCTTTTCTCATGTCCAGGGCCCAAGAACTGGAATTAGAAGATCATCAAAGCAGACTGGAACAGAAATTAAGAAAGAAAATGCTCAAAGAGGGTGAGTATGCTGATACGTCTTGGGCCCTTCTTAAAGACATTTCTCCCCAGAAAGACACAAGAGCAGAACATGCTGCAAATCCCAGAGCAGAGTGCTTTTCCTGCCCGGCATGGCCAGCCTTCCTTCCCCGCCCCACCAGCACAGCAAGGCCCATGTAGCTTCCTTCACTTGGGCCATGAGGGCATATTCTCCTCCATTCCATGTGCCCACAGGAACAAAGTCACGATTCACTGATCCATCTGCTCATTTAACAATCATTGATCGGGAACCTAGTGTGGTCCTGGCATAGGGCAGAGAGCAACCCCTGCCCTCTAGGAGATTGTGGTCTCACTGGGGACACCAGCACCCAGACCAGTGATAGTACAGTGAGGTGAGGGGCACAGCAGAGGTGGTTTGGGGGCATCGAGGAAGGCAGGTCCAGTTCAGCCAGGCACTAGAGATGATAAAGGAAACATCCCCTCCCAGCATGGGCTGGGCCAGGCCCTCACACATGAGTAAATTATTCCGCCATGAAGGAGGGATAGTTGAAATAAACTCAATTGACATAGTATACTGCCTTACACATTCATTGGCGCCAGCCAGAAAGGCATGTTCACTCTGTTTCGTGCCTGTGTATGTGTGTGTATGTGTAGTGGGGGAGATCCATATATGACTTTCCTATGTTTAGGCCTAGGTCTAAAAGAACAAGTTAAATAATGTCTTTAGACCTCATGGAACTAACCTCATGCACCTACCTTATGACGTCGCCTGGTCCAGGGCAAGCACTCAGTAAATATTAGGCATTAACATCATTTTTGTTTATGTATTTTGTCCCCATTTTACAGATTAGAAAAAGGAGTCTCAGAGCATTTAAACAACATGCTCGAGGTAAATGCTAGGGCTAAGATTTAGGAACCGGCCACAGACTGAGGGTCTCCTATTCTGCCTCACCTGGCAGTCACTTGTAGACTGTTTATTTATAGCAACAGAGTTCTATTTCTAATGGAACCCTTATAGAGTTGTGCTGTACAGAACAGATAGAGGTGGTATACATCATCTTTTATATGTCAGAGGGGTCTCGGATGGGGCCATCTGTGACAAGCCTAAACTGAGAGAGGAATTTTTTCTTCTTCTGTGTTTATTAAATAAGGAGCATCAATACTCAAATATACCTAAATTAACAAACCATAGGGTATAATTAATATCTGACTTATACATCTGATAAAAAAATTTAACTTGCTCTGTCTCAGAATAGTAAAATACCACCAAAGACTCTATGAGCCACCTTCCTTTTTTTTAAAAAAGTTCTTACTAAGGCGTGAGGCCATACATTTTTTTCCTTGGAGATGTACTGAAAAACTATATCCTCCTCATTTCGTCAGTACCTGAGCCCATCTTCCATGTAAGCTTCCTCCCAGTAATTAGCAAGGGGACCAAAAAAAAAAAAATGGAGAACTCTTTATCGCTCTGTGGTAAACTCGATCTGATGTAATAACTTAAACAGTCCTTGCAGGAAATGCTTGGTCTCTTAGGGATGAAAATGTTTGGTCTTGAAGACGGCCACCTCCGCCTTCTGCACTGCTCCCTAGGGCGACTGCCAGCTAACAGGGAGTGGCAGGTCTGTGTGGCCCTGTGCGTTGGGAATCTGTGAGAGGTGCTCTGGCTCACTGAGTCCCCACATAGCTGCCTCCCGTCATCGGGCTGCATCTCCTCTGCCGGTACTTGCAGCTGAGGTGTACGCCCGGTGTAATCCGTAGCCCGGCCGTTCTCTTGGTGTGCTTAGGAGCCTGGTGGCCTTCCCTGGTTCACTCAGCCTCGCCTCGGCATAGCCTCCATTCAGCGTGGCCAGACAGCCTGCCCTACAGTCTCCACTGTGGGGTCAGTTCACTCCTTCATGGGGGAGCCTCATGGCAGCCCCATCAGCCAGCTACTTGGGGTGAGTGGGCACGTCTAGCCTGCCCCCATGCCACACACAGCACAGCAAGATCCGGGGAGCCACACTCAGACCTCCTCCTCTGCCCAACCATGAAGTACTGCCCCATGTTTACACGTAGGGGTGCCCTTCAAGCCGGATTCTTCCTAGAGTTCTGAACAAGGGTCAGGGCAAAAGTCCTTTGGCCCCCAGTGTTCTGTCAAATACCGTAAGACGTTTCCCCAACTCTGGGGCTTCCAAGGCCCAGCATGGTGAGACTGGAACCCAGAGCCCTCACCCTCTACTGTTCCTGCCTCTCTCCCCTCCCCACATAAGACATGAGGTGCAAAAGGAATAGTACATCCTTGTTTCCCTTTCGTCATAGCTACCTTCTTCCTGACCCAGACCTCAGAACCAAGCCTGATGACAGACAGTGGTGCCCTCTCTGGTCCTCCCTGTGTTGGATGGGAGGGACTGAAGGAATTTAGGAAGGCTTCTCCCAAGGCAATCATCTGGTTGACAAGACTTAAATCTGGCTTTAAAAGCCTATTTTCTGTGTCAGAAACTCATTACTCCCTGTCTCTCACTCTCTCCCTTCCTTTTGTAACAATCCTGTCTCCTCCAGGCAACTGTATGCCCTGGGCCAATTAGGAAGAGGGTCATGTACTCAACAGACAAAAGGTACCAGCACAGTCAGTCCAGAAACACCATGCTGTTTCTGGACTGAGGACAGTCAGCCTCACTTTGCTTCCGCGTGGTCTCTACACGAAAGGCTACACTTCACCGTTAACTGCAAACGAAGAAAAGATTCTTGTCATTGAAATAGCAGCCACTAATGCAGATGGTTTACTTAAAAACTTCTCACAAATCCCTTTGCTGCAGCTCTGATACGTTGTTGGAAAACAGCCTTTTTGTGGTCCTGCCGGTTTCTCTTTGGGGCGAAGGGAAGGTTGGGGGACTCGATAGGGCCTGGCTGGTATTCGCTTCTTTTTCTCACAAAGGGGTTTTCCGTGTCGCTTTATCCATATCCTCAAGATGAAAACTGAGCTGACTACTTCACAAAGCACCCACTTTCTAATCGGTGGCTTTAAGGACAGCTCCTTGGTGTTAAATTCATTTCCTTGTTTTCTCTGCTGAAATTAAAAGGCAGGACAAGTCCATAACAACCCGGGACGTCCACGCCAAGAACTCTCCTGGGGCGCCATCTTACCTGAGCCTGATGTTTTTCTTTTTCTCTTTAGAGAGCCAGAAAGATGAGAATGATCTAAAAGAGGAGCAAGAAATATTCACCAAGATGATGCAAGTGATTGAGCAAAGGGATAAACTCGTAGATTCCTTAGAGGAACAGCGCGTCAAAGAAAAGGCTGAAGACCAGCACTTTGAAAGCTTCATCTTCTCCAGGGGCTGTCAGCTGAGCAGGACGTGATGAGGCCCGTGGTCCCTGTCCCTCGCAGCAAGCCGGGGACCGGACCAGGCCAAGCACCCCACACGTGCTCACAGGTCCTTTCGTGGGATTTTATCATCCGTGGGACTTAAGTTATATTCTACTGCATTTTTTAAATATTAAAATTCTCTTGCATGTACTACAGCTTCCCAAGATTCTTCCAGAGCTTACCATGAAGAAAACACCAAGACTCTTTTGAAATTGGCAGTCAACTTCGGCGGGGCTCTCAGACTGGAGGTGTTGTTGGCAGGTGACCAGCATTGTTTTCCCTAGAAAGTGACACAAAAGACTTGACTTTCCTGCTGCTTTTTATCATTTTTCTTCCCAATTCATTGAGTTACACACTTTAAGATTTTTAAGAAGCTGCCTTTTCATTAATATATCCATATTTGCCTTTTTTTGCATGGATGACCGGTTTCCAAATGTCAGAAAGCAGCAGCAGCAGTTTAAAGATTAGGTTAATATTTAAATTGTGTTTCCAGAGAAAGAGGAGAAACCTTGAGATTACTGATTACATAAAGCAAATAACTCATATAGCAGGTGTTAATTCAATCCAGGATGAATTTAATTTACCAGGTGTATTTATAAGCCTTAATATAATATACATAAGCAATGAGAGTTTAATAGAACATTTGAGCCTTAATTTTATTTAAAAAAAAAAAGAAAGAAAACTTTAACTTCATGCCAGCAGTATTGTTAGTTTTTACCAAATGTTGGCTTTAGAAAAGGTTTTTATTCCCATAATGCTCTTTTTATGGCCCCTAGAAAATAACAAAAAGCGTTTTTAGACAATGAATGATTTTGAAGTGCTTTTTTATGAGTGTTGGTGATGGCAAAAAGGGAAATTCTTTCATTTGTTGGTAAGATATTGGTAACGTTGGTGCTGCTACTGAAACTGAACACACTAATGGTACCAGGCAAAGAGTGCCTCTGGATGGTGCCTCTTAGATCCAAACAGAGAAGTGTCTCTGACTCTCCCCAGGGATTACACAAGAATTGTACAGGACAAGGACAAAACCACTTCTGACTCCGCGGTGGAGCTGAGTGCAGTGACCCTGTTTACCAAATCCCAAATTGGGCTGTGGATTTTTTTAATGACATTTCAATATGAAAAGAAAGCTTTGGAGATGGAGATTGTGCACCAACACATCAGAATTCCTGGAGTGTTTTGACTGTTCATATGGAGGCCAAAGAAGAAAAGATTTTAAAGGGTGATGTATTGTCATAAAACATTTGATTGTCTTCCCTCAATGGCATTCTTTGAAGATTTAGTCTGTTATCGATAAAAGAGGGGCTAAAGAACTCTTTGTTGTATGTTTGGCCGCACTCATTTCTGAAAGTGTTTAAATGTGTCATTAGACAAAAGGTGCTTTGCAACAGTTGGCTCTGACTGGAGATTGAAGTTTTCTCAATATAAATTGACCCGTGAACCACTTCTGTCAGAGATGCTCTCTGCACACCAATCTGGCCAGTTTACAAGCCAGAAATTAGATGTATAACTGGATTTTCTCTGAGTCAGCCAACATTTTGGGTGGTATTTAAATACAACCTTTCCATGCTAGTCCAAATTCCAAAGGTTGTAGTTCTTTTTTCTTTTCCTTCTTTCTTTCCTTTTTATGAGAATCAAATCTTCTAGTACCTGAATTTTATTATTAAGGAATATTTGGAGGCATCTACCTACCTACCTACCTACCTACGGGAACTATATCACTTTTGGCTATTTATCTACTTTTATTTATTTGTATATTAGGGAAAAATGGATATGATTTCTTCATAATTCAGGTTTTCATGTGTTATAATTTGGAGAAGACCTATTAGCATTAAGAAATTGGTATATAAGCTATTTAATATACAAATAATCCAGATGTTTGGGGCAGTGAGTTGTATAGTATTAAAGATGCATGGAGATAATCAAAATAATATTTTCAGCCTTCAGACATTTGGAGGTAAGATTGTGGATGCACAGAAATGTTAACTCATAAGAAAAAGATACATAACTTCAGTTTTCTTTCTAGAATATGCAGAATTATTCAAGCCTAGTCTTTTCTGTCGGTTGTATAAAAGTGCACCATTTGGATGCTTGCATACATGTGATGATGCTCACATGTGTAGTGCTTGGGTTGTTACTGTGCAAAAGAATTAATTGCCACTTATTTTATTAATAATTTGTTATATTTCCATCTAAGAGAAAGATTCTCCCAAGAGGGCCAAGAAAGAAGGTGGTTCTTGGCCCTTAGTATTCTGTTAATAGATGAGAGAAGCAATTTGTTCACTTTCTTCCCTAGACTATGTTCTGTGGTTTATGGTTCAGCTTTATCTGGCCACGTTAAAACATAAACCTCATACTTGTTTTCTACATACACAAAACCATTTATACATAAAAACCATTCCAATGATATGTCCAAAGAACACAAATATTGTAACTGTTGAACATATCTAAATGCTTGCAGTCAGGCGTGATGGCTCATGCCTGTAATCCTAGCACTCTGGAAGGTCGAGGCAGAAGGATCACTTGGGGTCAGGAGTTCAAGATCAACCCCATCTCTACTAAAAATGGAAAGATATTAGCCAGGCAACTAAAAATAGAAAAAATTAGCCAGGTGTGGTGGCGCATGCCTCTAGTCCCAGCTACTCAGGAGGCTGAGGTAGGAGGATCACTTGAGCCCAGAAGTCGGAGGTTGCTGTGAGCTAGGCTGACACCATGGTACTCTAGCCCAGGCAACAGAGCGAGACTCTGTCTCAAAAAATAAATAAATAAATAATAAAAAAATGAAATTATTGTATTCCTTATTCACAATAGGGAATGTTCTAAGACCCTCAAAATGTAAAATATTTTACATTTTGAAGACAGTTTCTTTGTATGCAATATGAGTAGGATTATGATGAAAATGGACTGAGCCTTTGCTGCCCCATAAAAGAGCACTAGTGAAGGTGATCAGGCCAAATGATTTAGGATTCTGAATGGGACAGAAAGCCCCAGGCTCAGGTCATGTTTTATAGTCAGTCCCACACAGCTTCTAAGTGAAAGCAAAGGGATTATGATAGTTATAAGGTCAGAATTTTACATAGGCTGGACCAAGAGGACAGTTGTTAAGCTTGCTCTCTATTTATTTAACATTCTCTGAACGCCCATCGAGCCTGCAGCCCTATGCTAGATGCTGAGATACAGAAAGATTTTTAGTTCTCCACTCTACCTCCAAATAAATACAAAGATCAAGAAACAAGTACCTCTGTTAGAATGGCTATAAAAAAAAAAGAATAAAAAAAGAAAGAAACAAGTACCTCCTCCCCAAATACAAAGATTAAAAACTATTTTTATTATAAGCATCAACCTATTCTACTCACGTTCATCTCAAGCATAAAGACTTATATCCTCCACTACTGTAGTGCTTCTTTGGCAATAGAAATAAGTTTGTGTTTCTAAAACTGTGAAAAATAATATCAGGTTGTACTGTTTCATTTAAACCTTAACTTTGGCAGTGTTAGGCCGCTTGGAATCAATCAATGCCAAGATGCAGCATGTTAATTGCAGCTGAGAAAGGAAGTGGCAGGTGTTTCCAACCCTGATGAGCTGCAAAGAAATTGATGTTTTCTGCATTCTGGAGGCAAATGACAATTCAGCAATGTCTCTCTTCCCAGGAAGCAGATTTACAGGCTTTTCCTTCCAAACTGAAAATGGCAGCATGCCCCACCCAGGTGGTTGATCAAAGAACTACCTCAGCAGGGCAGAGGTGGCAGGGGGCAGCCGGGGCCACCACATGGACAGAGAGTGTGGCAGTGATTGGATGTGGTAAGCTCAGATGTAGGGGTTTATTGCAATAAGGAAGTTCATGTACAGGGGAAAGTGTACTGTTTCACCTACTGTTTATCTTCTAACCTCACTGCCGAGTAGCTGGTAAAAGATTAATTTGCTCCAACAATTGGAAACTATTCATGTGGATGGAAATGTGTTCTATGTGCACTGCTATAAATACTGAAATGGATCGAAAATAAATGGTTTTGTGTCTCAGGAATCAAAACATTTTCATTGGGCTCGGTCTGGCACCTCTGAGGGCAGCATCCATTTCATTCCTTTCTTCTCAGTGAAAGAACCCGGGCAAGGCTTTGATTTCGTGTGGAAGTCCGTGAATTAACTTGGGAGGTTTTGTTACCACAGGGGCATCTGGAAGGACTTACCTGAGCAGCCGATTGGATTCAAATTGGAGGAGGAGCGAAGAAGGCTGACCTCAGGTGTGTTCTCGCAACATAGAAAGCTATTGTCAGTGCTGGGGGAGGGCAGGGGCCAATGGCAGGCCCGGCCTCCCCCTTTCTTTCACCTTCTTACCTGGTGAAGCCTGGTTTTGCATTTTATTCACTCAACAGAAATGCGCCCTTATGTACAGAACTGGCCTCTTCCTTCAACGCCCACTCTTTGAGCACATGCGTACTTACCAGCTACGAGCCAGAATTGCCACATCAGGTTAATCAAGCGGTCAGTCCCTGGAGCTCCCATCATTCCACACGAAGTTCCCCCCATTATTTAAAAGCTTTTAACAGCTGAGCAAATGTTTGAAATGATTTATTTTTCCATTGAGTATCAATGAAAAACATACAGAACTACGGATGAGAGCTCCTGTTTTGCAAGCACTGATGGGAAGAGCTCCGAGGAACAGCCGGCCACCTTTGATGGCGTTTTGCAAGTTCTCCTGCGGCAATGCTGGGGCTCATCTGACCTCCTCCTGCTCACAGAGTGCAGACTCTCAGCCTTCGCTGCAACTCCCCGTCCCTGAGCCTGCCGGGCACACTTGGCAACTTCATGCTCACTCCTTCTCTCAGTTCATTTTTAGAAATAAAAGAAAGCAAAACCGATGGTATCACAGCCTCCCTGGGGAGCCCCTTTGACCCCGATAATGGTAACAGCAACTGTGAATTCAGCTCTCTCACCTGCCGGGTGCTGTAATACGCTGTGCAAGTACATTATCCCATTTAATTCTGAAAGCAAAATCTTTACAATACACATCATGGCCATTTTTAGATGATAAGACTGAGGAGCAAAAAGGCTCAGGCACTTACCTAAGACAGCCCAGGTCCAAAGTAGTGCTGGCCCCAGCTGTTGGCCTCCAGAGCTGGCCCTGCGTCCCCACACAGACTGTGCC